ATATTTTTTTAAAGTTCCCTTAATCTGATTGTTTTAAAAACACAGACTTATGACTCATGGTTAAAAAGAATGATAAACTGTCTTTTTTTTTGTCACAATGTTGCATTCACTCCCTTTGAAAACCATGCACTAGTGAAACTCTTCTTGAAAAATAATATAAATTGTTGAAAATGGCTGATCTGTTTTTAGTTTTATTCATTTTTTTTTTGCAAGTTACAGCCTCAAAAAATAAATAGAATTCTTTTTTTTTTTTTATTCAGCTAAGTTTGTGCCCATGCAAATCAACTGAAAGGGAAAATAATATCAGAATTGGATTCTTATAGGATTTTCAGCAGAGAAAGGAAGTAAAAACTACCGTAGTACTCTTTATGGGGTTGGGATTGGTGCAGTTTATTTTGGGGTGTTGTTGGAGGCCACTTCAGTTTTGCCCCTGATTATCTGGTGGTTTACCAGCAACAGCAGGTCTGCACATAGACCCAGAGGATGCAATGCATTTCTCTTGCAGGTAGGAGGACACACGAACACACCCCCTTTGGAAAATGTTGGTCTCCTCAACTGCATGTTAGCTACGTTTGTTGGCATGGTGTGACCAAGCATGTGTTCGGGAACACCGTCACCCCATTCAGATAAAAGTACCGCAGACATTTAAAGAAACAAAAGAAAAAAGGAAACGGAAAAGAGAAAAAAAATCAAAACAACTCATTGATTTTTTTTTTTTCATTCTAAAGGGGCCACTGTTGAACTCATTTATTAGTTCCCAGTGTCGGCCCCCATGGCTTCAAATTGGAAGAAAACCTGGAACTGAGAAGTTCCTCGTGCTAAGGAGTTCATCCCGGCTTCTTCCGAATGACAACAACACCTGGCAATCCCTGCCGCTGGGTGCTTGCAACACACTTTGCCACGTGCACAATGTGCGCAACGTTTTTGCTTAAAACACAGGATCACGTTCGCGCCCCTAGAAACAGGCTCAGAAGACACAACATCAAGCATGCAGTGTAACCGGGGCTCGTGACCTGTAATCGCAACACTGGCTGCTACAACAACGCTATTAGTCCACACGCTGCTATGATCGAGAGAAACTGTCCAGTGAGGATTGGGAAGCTCTTCTTGTCAGTGGGGCCAGAGTAGGGTCCACTAGTGAGGAAGGAGGGAAGAGCTTGTACCAGCCAATCACCATGTTGGACAGGTCCAGGTCGTCTAACAGGATCTGGACTGCTCCCATGAAGGATTTATGGTCCATACGTCCATAGTCGCCCCAGACAATGACCTAAAAAAACACGAGAGAATAAAAATAGTTAGAAAAAAAGCTCAAATATTTTGGATGTTAATGTTTCTCTGGGAAACTTTAAGAAGGTTATAGGCTAACCTGTAAAACTTTTCCTCCTGGACTCTCCTCAAACGGCAGTTGCTGCTGGTAGAGAGGATCCAGCGTTTTTCTTGCTACTTTAGTTTTCTTTTTGGCTATGCAGGCTCCGTTTTCCAAAAGGTAGACCTTTACGTATGGTGCTGGAATGGACAAAAACAAGGAAGACGGATTACAATCTGGCTGATTTGCTTGTTTTGTATAAAGCACCTCAAGACCCTAAACACCCTTCGAAATCATTAAATACCTATGTATGTTCATCACTATCAATATAAAGTAATTAATAAACACATAAATAATCAGTGAAATGCATAAGATGACCACAGCAAACAGTGAAATAATTAATCTAACATCTGATTGGTTGATTCTAACACTGCAGATGAACTGATGTTTAGATAGATTAGAATAAACTCATTCAGTTCCTTTAAAGCAGGGGTCTTCAACGTTTTCCAAGTCTTATTTGTAAGAAAAGTAATTTCTCTCTGGGATTATTAAAGTATTTCTGATTCCTGGTTGATGGGACAGGTGTTTTGAATGAAAGGGTGTCCAGCTTGATGTGCATTGATGACTGAAAGACATCTTTTGCCTCCATTTATCAGTGTGTTGAATTCATGTTAATGTGGATTTAAAGAGATTTCAATAAGTGCAAAAAATTGAGGGGGGGAATATAAATATGTATAAACCAAAACTTTCATGAGCCCCATGCAGTACCTCCGAGGACCCCCTAGGGGTCACGGATCCCCTGTTGAAGACCTCTGCTTTAAAGTTTACTTGAACAGCTAAATAGAGAACTAATTAAGAGTTTCTCTGACATATTTCTGTTAATAAAATATGCACATTATATAACTATTATAATACATATATTTCATCTCTTTATTTCTTTGTAATTTGAATAAATATTGACAGTTTGCAGTTATATATATCTAACTGTGGCACTTCTGGTCCAACTATGTTTTATGTCATATTTGCTTATCAAGTGTCTCTGAATCACTGATGTCACCTGAACTTTTGGTTTGTCTGTGAACATAAATTACCTGGCAGTGCCTTAGATCCTGGTTTGCCCACAAGGCCACGAGCTCTTATGACCTCGACCTCCAGGGCTCCTTTTTTCTCCACCATGCCTATTTGGATGTCGCCTGAAAAAAGATCAAACAAAGTAAATACCACCTTCTTTTAAAGGTATTCCTTCCTTTAAACAAACAAAAAAAAAAAAAATACATAAAAAAAAGTTTTTCTCACCCATTGGTGGAGTAGCCAAAGTCTGACGTCCAACCAGCTGGGCAGGTCCCAGACCATCCAGGAAGTCACTGAACTGAGCGTCCGAGGAAAGCCTCACACCGGGGAAGATGAGGCTGAAAGAGAAAGATCAGATGAAAGTCAGGACATTGATGGCTGCACACCTTTCAGCAACAAAAACTGGAGCTTGAAACTTTGTGAGGAACTGCCTCAGAATTTAAACTAAAGCCGTTAATAATTCTTATGTAATGGCTGCCCTTACTTTCCCTCTGAGCTGTAGCTGTTCATGCTCCCATCAGTGGACTCCCGACTGGCCTGTCGAGTCATCCTGCTCCTCATCTCCACCGCCAGGCCCGTCTCTGTACTCCTTTGGACCGTGCTGCGCAACTTCTTGCCTCCTGCTTCTGCCCGAACAGTCACACACGAAAGAGAGAGAAAAAAAAAGGGATCCAGACTATGAATTCATGTCAGAACAAATCTGGCTTTATTGTTGACATCCTCCAAAAGAGACAATCTTATATATTGGAATTCCAACTTTTATTAGCAGCAATATTTTTTGGAAAGGATCACGCAAAATTCAACTGATATATAAGGATTCTGACTGTGTATACGGTTAATAGAACATGGAGTACAGTCATATTGTGCTGCAGGAGACACAGTGGGTTCGTACTCCACCTCAGTCCTCAATGCTTTCCACTTCAAAGCCTCCAAATTGATCCAAAAAGACAGCTGACTGCCTCCCCCCAGCAAAACTGCTGCTACTTTTCCACAGTCCAGAACTACATCGTTGACAGAAATACTCACATCTAAACAAGCTAAAGCCGTCTGCCTCTCCTCTCTTGGCCAAAAATCACCCAGAACACAAACAAAATCATGTTCCCTATTCATCCAAGAGCCTTGTTTTTTTTTTCATAAGAGCAAAACAAAATATTGTCAGAGATTAGGGTTGCCAACTTCCTAAAAAAAAAAGAAAAAGGGACACCTCATGTGTGTGCCAGCTGACCCGATTTTTTTTTAGCCCCCCTTTGTGTGTGAAATAATTTTTTTTAACTATTTGACTCAAATCTGCATTTAATTAGATACATATTTGCAGTGTGCTTTACATTCATTATTGTAGACGTTTTCCACCCTGGTATTTGTTTTTCCCCATTCCTCCCTATATTTCTGCATCCTTTTTTTTTCCGGAGGAGCATAACTATTCTAAGGTGCACCGCCTCCTAAAGCAGCATCAGCATTTAAATTACTCCGTACATCCCCCATACTGCTCTGTTGTTTCCCGCTATCTTCTCCGTGAGCTACACTTGGCTCGACCAATGGGATGAGGGTATTCTGGATCTTTACATATATGTTGTCAGCTTATTGGTCACAATGCAGGACAGGAACCTGGAACAAGTTTACCGTTAGTTTTGTATCTAACGTGCCCTTCTTCATTTTCCATTAGCTTTTTATTGACTATTTTTTTTACTCTTACAGTAATACGGGACAAAGTGCGTTCATTTTCCACTAAATACAGGACAGGTACTTCTATTTCTAAATACGGAATGATTCTGTTTTATAAGGCACGGTTGGCAACCTTATTAGAGATCTACTCATCTGGGTTTCCTTGTCTAATACTAATTTCCAATGATGTTCCAGTGACTATCTGATGAACGCACTTTGATTATTTCTGGTTTTATTTTAAAGGACTACAGCAAATAAAAGGGGAAAAAAAGTGCTGCAGGTTTTTAAACAGATGAAATAATTAAAAAAGTGATGGCTACAAGTTTACTCCTCCTGGCCCACTTACGTTCAGCTCATGCTATTTGTTAGCATGTTGCTAGGTCCGCTAATGCTAATCTTTGAAATAAAACACAGATAAAAAAAGCTTTATCACAGAGCTACTAGCATCTGGCAACACCTGAGCGACCTCTCTCATGTCTTTAAGTTGTTGTAACCAGAAATTCACATTTTGGACCCGTCAAAATTTATCAAAAAACTATTTGTATAGTTAAATATTTTGTTTAATTAAAATAATTTTCATTCTCCACTGTTCTTTGGATTTATTTCTGAAAAACTATTTGCTTTGACAAAAATAGTAGTGGCTAGTATCTTTAAATCCAACAGAAACTGGTAAGTACAAGATAATCAGCATTTATAAAGACATGTATGGCAAAACCGTCATTAATCACCATGGAACTAATCATCTTATGATTTTGGAACTATAGTTCTTAAAGTGGGGGTCAGGAGACACCGACTGGGACGTCATCAGATGGTTTTCAGTCACTGTGATGAGATACTTCAAGTATATGAGGGACCAAAATACATGATGAAATACATAAATGTAAATTAATAAATATAATAAAAAAAAACTTTACTTGATATGTATACATACAGTGTGAAGTATTTACATGTATTTAAGGGGGGGGGTCTGTCATCTTTTGCATTGTTATTTTGGGGACACAGGCTTAAATGTTTGCTTGTTGTCGACATGCTGTGTCTTACTTTTAAAAAATAAGAAAAAGTATAAATTATTATTTTTTATATCAAACTGGCAAAACCTCTAGAGTTGATGAGGTGAACACAGACCTATTTCAATTTTCCCTGCTTTGTTTGCATCTCTTGTTTTCGGTTTATCACTGTGTAGGACTCTTTTAATTCTTGACTCTGATCAAATGATTTACAGTATTTTACTTGATTATTCTAACTGTCATTTATGCATGCAGTCCAAAAATTTCAGACTTAGGTAAACAATGGAACAATTACAGCCAATAATTAATGTTCTACCTTTTTATCAGGTTACTGTTTACCCTGGAGAGATGCAAATTGTTCACAGATTGTTTAATTGGTTATTTAACGGCTTCCGCTAATATTTCTTTCCAGATGTAATTTGTAATTCTCTGCCCGTCTTTGTGCAAACAGACAGTATACAGTGATGAAGCTCTTTAGCCTTGAAAGCTCAGCTATTGACCTGGCCTCCACCTCCTCTTCCTGCTCTTCAGATGTTTCAATAGAAGATGCACTGACTGAGGCTGTCTCTGACGTCTGTAGCAAAACATTCTCAGCCAATCAGTGACGACTCAGATCTTATCAATGAACTCAAAAACCCTCCATTTCAAATGAAGCAGAACATTTCTGCAAATTAGCCTCAGTCATGTGGCACGGACTTGCATGTATATAACTGCAAGATACTCTGTTTATTTATCACCAATAAATATGAATCATTGCTTCCTAACACACTGCAGGCTTGGTAATAAAAAACAATAAAGATAAGTAGATTAGACAAAAGCATGGGAGAATAGCAGGTGTCCTAACCTAAACCATGCACATAATTAAAAATAAACAAAAACCCTTCATGGGTTCATCAACATCCGTTCAGCTAATCAAACAAACCGGACTCTTTCAGCATCAATTAGATCATCATCTCTGCTTCAACTGTCAAAACCAAACACAAAAAAACACCACTGCAGGTTAAAACCTTCCACTTCATGCATAACTGAACTTTACTGTATTTCAGGTTTCTTCTTTAAGTCTAGAGTAGTTCTCATCTGTGCATCATTTTCTAAACCAAGCTCCTAATTTATAACTGTCAGTGTCTCAGGGCATCATCTTACCTCCATCTTCCTCATCAAAGGAGTTCATGCAGGGAAAATAGACAGCCAGTGCCTCAAACGACGCAGAAAGGCTCATTTTGCTCTGGGAGCACTGGATGCGCATCCCCGGAGCCGTGGCTGAGCTATCGTGTCCCTGTCTGCCCATGCTGACCGAGTCGTCCTCCTCAGTGTGATCAATGCAATTACAGGATCTCAGAAATCTCAGTGATTCCTTTTAAGATGATGAATAAAAAAAAAAAAAGGAAATTGTATGTAAATAAAATCTAAGCCCAGTTGCAGTTGAAGATGCCGTAAATCAGAGCTGGGTAAAAAAGAAAAGTCTGTCCTTGGACGCTCTGGAGATTTCAACAAGGTGGAAGCAGCAGAAAAATGCTGTCTCTGTGTTTGAGTCTGGTGCTGTCTGGGTCTGACGCTCCTGCAGCACCTCTTTCTTCAGCGGGGGAGGGAACAGAGCAGTGTCTGGCCTCACCAATCAGAGAGCTGAGCTGCTCAGGCACACCTCTGCTGGCTCTGCGGATGAAAAAGCTCTACCCAGAGATACTCAGCCTCCTCGCGACTCTTCTCTTTTTTTCCCCCACCAGCTGCCGGGTTTCTTTCTTCTGAGCCGTACATTACCGTTATTTACTTTTTCTCTCCATCCTGACACTCTTTGCCCCTGTTCTATCCACAGAGGCCAATGACAACAAGCTGTCATTAGGTCTGCCAGCATCTCTTAGAGAGGCCACCTGGCAGTCACTCAGAGTTCACGTGGCTTACACTGCTCTTCCCTGTTCCTCCTTAACAACATCATTACCACTGCGTTTGGGGGGGCGAGCTAAATTACCCATCTGCAGTCATCATTGCTCTGAAAAACTAATCTAGTTGGATATAAAGTTGACACGTTCGTTTTTTTTTTAAAGGTACATAGTCACATTATACGCCTTTAGCAAAAAAACTAATATCCAGCTGATTATTATAAAATAAGGCTATATACCAGGGATGTCAAACTGGTTCCAGAAAGGACCGTGCTGCAGGTTTTCTTTCCAACCAAGCAAAGCACATCAGACTCCAGTCATCTTCTCAAGTGAGTCCCGTCTTAACATGATGACTTGATGAGATGACTGGAGTCTGGTGTGCTATTGCTTGGTTGGAAAGAAAACCTGCAGCCACACGGCCCTTTCTGGCACCAGTTTGACACCCCTGCTATATACTCAAGGTGTCCCTCCTGATAGGGTTTAGCTTGCCCTTTTTGAGCCTAAATAGAACCCCAACAAAGGGCACACTGAGCTACAGAAACAGATGTGGTGCCATCTTCAGGCATTACTGCTGAACCACCAGAAGGCCAGATGGTGGCATTTGATGCAGCTCCTAAATAAGTGGAGACCAATCCGACCATGCTGAAATGCCTCGTAGAAAACGGCCAAGAGGATATGGTTTGGAAGCTTTGCAAACACCAGCAGCACTATGAGAAATGACATGTTCTCACATGCTAAAGCTCAGAATGCTTTCTGAGTTGTAGCTCCAGCTATAGTTTACACCAACGGCAAAACTAAGGCATCTTCTTGTGCCTTTTTCAATTGATCTTGGACCTTCCTCTTTTTGGAAGCTAAGTTAGTAGTTCCAAACTCTCTCACCTCCATTTCTTTGGCTTGTTGACCAGTTGTATCTCCCCAAAACACCTGAAAACATTAAGACGTTGGTTTTTAGACTAAAACTGGGTTTCAAACGTCTTTTCAACGATCTGAGAATGACGGGTTTTCACCTTTCACTTTTCAACCAAATGTAGACGTTGTTAGGACGTAAATCCTGCCGTGTTTACAATGTCTGTTCAACCA